TATATATATATATATATATATATATGTTCAGTCTTTATTTTAATTATAGTTTAATATTTATTATTTTTGTCATGTTTTTAATATCATTATTTAGGTTACATTTATTTTTATTTTAGTTTTATATTTATTTCTAGTTAGTAATTTAGTGCTTCAATTTTTCTTCATTGAACTTTCTCATTTAGTATATATACTTATATTTTATTTAGTGCGGTCAAACGATTAATTGCGATTAATCACATCCAAAATAAGTTTTTGTTTACATAATATATGTGTGTACTGTGTATATTTATTATGTATATAAATAAACACACATACAGTATGTATTTTGAAAATATTTACATGCATTTACATGTATATATTTACATTCATATCATTTTATATTATATATAAATATATTTAATATATAAACAGTCTTAAGTCGCTGTGGTATATTTGTAGCAATAGCCAACAATACATTGTATGGGTCAAAATTATACATTTTTCTTTTATGCCAAAAATCATTAGGATATTAAGTAAAGATCATGTTCCATGAAGATATTTTGTAAATTTCCTACCGTAAATATATCAAAACTTAATTTTTGATTAGTAATATGCATTGCTAAGAACTTCATTTGAACAACTTTAAAGATGATTTTCTCAATATTTAGATTTTTTTGCACCCTCAGATTCCAGATTTTCAAATATTGTCCTATCCTAACAAACCATACATCAATGGAAAGATTATTTATTCAGCTTTCAGATGATGCATAAATCTCAATTTTAAAAAATTGACCCTTATGACTGGTTTTGTGCTCCAGGGTCACATATAAGCATCTTATCTTTGTCCGTCTCACCTTGTCCACGTTCATCCTCTTGAAGGCCGTCTGCAGCACTTTGAAGTTGTGAATGTACTCGTGCTCCAGTTTGGCCTGGAACTTCACCCTCTTCAGCAGAATACAGCCGGGGAACAGCATGTCCATGAAGTGACAGTACGCCGCACCTGAAGAACACAAGCGGTCAGCGTCGCGAAGCACAGCTGGAACACACACACACACACAGCTGTTTCAGAGCGGAGCTCACCTGAGCACAGCTGCTCGATCTTGGTGTAGTTGAGCTGCAGAGAGTCGTTGACCCAGGCCAGCATGTCATGTCTGCTCAGGTTCTCGATGGTCATCGACGTGGAGTAAACGTTTACCGCCATCCCACAGCTGCAGAGATTAAACTACATCAAACACTCACTCAAAACATCACCGCACAGAAACCCCGCTGACAGGGAACATTCGGTCAAGGTTACAAACTAACGTTATTCCAGTAACATTAACAGAACATTCAAGGTTATCTGGCCTTTAATAATGTTCTCAAAACATGAGCTCAAAAACTTTATTATACAACATTCATGGAATGTTTTCCTGAAACATTTTAGTTGGATGTTCATCTGATGTTTTTTAAACGTTACATTCAAAAGTAACATTCCCATCATGTTTGCAAAATGATACAATGTAACATTCCTTAAAGTTCCAAAAACATTTTTTTAAACATTAAAAAAACCAAACGTTTTGAACGTTTTTAGAACTTAAAAATGGGAACGTTAGTGAAACATTGAATTAAACAAGGGTTATTATAGTTAAAGCCATAAACAAAGGCATTTTTGTTGCTTGAAATAAAATAAATGTTAACTGAAATAAAATGACATATTCATTTTAGCTAGTTAAACAAGATGAAATTTCTCATTTTAATTTACTTTAACGAGATGTACTAAAACAGCAAACTAAACTGAAATAAATATGAATAAAATATTAACAAAAACTATATAGACATATTTAAAAACAACAGAAACTTACTAAATTAAAAAAATTAAAATTACTAAAACTTTGACTATAATTAAAATGAAAGCAGAAAATATAAAAATAAAAACTAATCCAAAATATTAACAAAAACTATTATAGTATGCCAATGAAACTAAAACAACACTTAATTTAAACGTGAAATTTTGAAGTAGAACGACTGAAATAGTATTTTCTTGTAAAATGTACTACAATAACCTTTGATTTACAACTTTGAAAATGAGTTTATACAGTGTATTGGTCAGTGTTTATATTGTTTCTTATCATATCAGTGTATCATGTTCTCATCACCTTTAACACTGTTAACAGTGTGTGTCTTCTTAGACTCCAGTAACCAGATTAAACTGCAAGAACACACACACTCAAACACACACTCACACACACACACACACACACACACACTCACACACACCCTCTCTCTCACACACACTCACACACTCACACACACCCTCTCTCTCACACACACTGAACATTACCTGCCCTTCTTTATAGAGATTCGCAAAAAGCAAATTGCCGATGTAATATTTTACAACTGTGTAGATTAGTAAAAGCTTTGACCTTTACCCACAATTCCACACAGCTGTCCTGTTTATGTGTCATTATATTTATGATCGATGACAGCACACATTCAGAAGAATCTCAAACATCACTGTCTGTCGAGAATCTCTGCACAAATACATTATTTTGGGAAAAACACTGAGATGATATTCTTGTCTTAAAGCAGGGTTTGATGAAAAGCAAATAATTAAATCATAAAAATTTTATATTAGAATAAATAATTTTAAAATAAAACCATCAAAATGAAACACTTACCAAAAACAACTATGTAACATTAAAATAAATTAATTAATTTTAAATAAAAACAAAATAAAACAATTGCAACAATGTATAAAATAATGTAAAATTAAAAAATAATTAAGTACATGTAAAACAAAATAAAACGCTTACTAAGCATTTATAAAACTCGTAAAAAGGTCAAATTAGTAAAAAAAGATTAAGAAAAGATTACGTATCTTATTTGTGACCATTAACCGCCATCAGAGAACGATGAACATGCAAATGTGTTATTGAATTATTGGAATATGAAATCTCAGGGGGACCAACTCACACCAACACACACACCATTTATATACCAAGAAAATATTAGGGAAACATATATAAATATAAACCCCTTGTGTGTGTGTGTGTGTGCGCGTTTTTGTGACAAATGAGGACATAAATTTGTATAATGACAAGGGTATAACATAGGTATTACAAGGAGAAGGTGACTTTTCAGGACATTACCCCATGTCCCCACTTTTCAAAACGCATATAAATCACACAGAATGGAGTGTATTGAAAATCTGAAATAGCACAAAGTTTCCTGTGAGGGGTAGGTTTAGGGGTAGGGTTGGTGTAGGGCAATAGAATATACGGTCTGTACAGTAGAAAAACCATTACGCCTATGGAGAGTCCCACAAGGATATCAAACCAGACATGTGTGTGTGTGTGTGAGTGTGTGTGTGCGTGT